ATGATAACTGTGTATGATAAATGGTATTTTGGTTTTGGATGAAATGAAAAAGGCAATCAGTACAGCTTTTAGAGTTCTGAGCAGTGTTCAGCATGTAACACCTATTTCATTAATAAATAAAACAAAATAAAAGAATTTGTTTATATATATATATATATATATACACACATCAACAAATATATATATATATATATATATATATAACAAAAGAAAAAGGTTCTTTTAGTTATTGTTTCTATTTGTATATTTTGGGAAGAATTGATAGCTAGGTTAAGAGTTGTTAAATATTTTTAAAAAGTTAAGAAATTATTTTTTTGGAAAGTTTACTTTAGAAAAAATTGTCAAGCAAACTGCTCTGGCATTGAAGTGTTAATATTGGGCAACTCCAGTATTCTGGCAGAGTAGTAGTCTTCAAGAATGTAATAAATCTGAGTTTCTTAGGGCAGTTCATTCATTGGTAATATGGTATTATCAGTTTTGCAAAAATTTCCCACTGAAATGTGTCTTATTTATTTAGTCATATATTTATCAGTTTTGATTGGTGTAAGATATTATATTTTTATAAACAAATTTTCTAGAAACCTGATAAAAGTTAATTCTGAGTTAATGAGAGCTCTTTATAATATTAGTCTTCAAACAAGGTGCTTGGCATCTACTTACTCCTAATGTCATATATATATTGTTTCCCTCTACAACTAAAAAATATTTATAAAAAGAAGTTAATTGGATTAGCCAAAGGGGAATGAAGGCAAAGGAGGGGGTGGGAATAGGAAAGACAGTAAAATGAATTGGATATAACTTTCCTATGTACATATATGAATATACAACCAGTAAAACTCTACATCATATACAATCACAAGAATGGGATCCTAATTAGAATAAGTTATATTCCATGTATGTATAATATTTTAAAATACACTTTACTGTCATGCATATCTAAAAAGAACAATAAAACTTTCTTAGTAGCAGAACAATATTAAACTAGTTTCCTTCAGTAAAATTTCAAGTAAAAAAATCAATTTATGATAGTATTTTGAGAATCACAGTCAAACCTAGCACAGGGCAACAAAACAGTAGAAACAGTAATTTAATTAGGTCCTCATTGAATCACTGGATATTTGTGGGAGCCCACAAATGTCAGACACTCTGGAAAGAGCAAAGGTACAATTATGAGCAGACATAATTGTGCTTGTGTTGTTTGGAATTGCTGGAGGACAATGATGAAATGATACCAAATACATACACACATCCATATATATAATTATCAATTTTGAAAATCCATGGGGTAAAAAATGAACAAGGACAAGAAATATTTTCCTGGAGGAGTCTCATGTCATTGGCATGACCTGTAAGGAGAGAATTGGTAAAATTCAGGGAAAATTTCCCAGGGATACAAATGCATGTGTGGGGGCCTGAGCTAAAAAGGTACTTAACTTTCTTTTCATTTTTCCCAGGACAGAAGGAACACTGTCACAGGAGCACAGTGAGGAAGAATGGCAAGCAACACAACCCAGAACATAGGCCTAGCCCTGATTGTGCAGCCTCCTGGAGTTTGCGATGGGCAAATGCCCAAGCAAACCATGGCTGTGTCAACCAGTAGTTGCCTTAACATTGAATGTGGAGTTAGGCTTAGTTGTGTCCTCAGCAGTGCAAAAAGCATCACTTTATACAAGCAGACTTAGATAGCAATAGTTGGGAGAATCATGATTTAAAAATGGAATTGACTATAAATTATTTGAAGAAACAGTCTTCTAGACAGGTATTCTGAATCCCCTTTAAACACAGGTACCAATATGTAGCCCTGAGTAAACTTGCAGAGCTCAGACTAGGGTAGGCAGCAGCTAACTACATTTATTGACTACCTACAATGTTGACTGCATGGTACAACTGTCTCATTTAATGTTCATAGCTATCCTTTGGAGTGGGTACCATCCCCCACCCCATTTTAAAAATAGTACATTGAGTCTCAGGGAAGGTAATAAATTTCCAAAGATGAATGAAAGGAAGGCCTAGGATTCAAATGTTTGTGTCCTCTAAATTTGTGAAATTTCTACTGGATCATACCTAAGTGCAATAATTCTTCAAGGGTCACAGCCTGAAGAGCAAACTCGGACGTGAAGAACAAACTTGCACCATCTGTTCTTTATTCATAAATTCAGGCATTTGAACATTTGAGCATTTGCCTGCTGTGCATATAGATCGAATAAGGTATTGTGTTGCCATGGGGGAGAAGAGAAGATAAAGTGGGAAGAGGGAAGTTATACAAAGACACATAGGGTTCAGGACCTGCCTCAAAGACTTACATTAGGCAAGCTATGTCTTATATATACATTATGATAAAAGTACAGCATGTGTTGGTTAAGATTAGTTGCTGCTATGCCCTGAGAATATGTGGGATATTGGTGGACATACAAGTCCACCAGAAGGCATTCCGAAAAGAAAGTTTTCATTATTGGGGAGCGGGGGCATTTGCTCTAACGCCATTTCCAATCCTCTCTTCTCAAATTAGCCAAAATAGGAAAGCATAGAGTGCATGGTTCTGAACAGGGACCAGTGGTTGGTTAAAGAAGTCTTGGATTGAGTTTAATATAATCAATTCCTAAGCCCTTGATATGATTTCTTCTCACTTTCTCTTTTCATCTTTATGTCCAATAAATCTAACAAAGACAGAATGAAGTAAGAAGAACTATCCCAGACTCTTCCATCCAGCCTATTACTTTGGGGGGGCCGTGGGGGTTGGGGGTATCTAAATATACACAGTACATTGGGACTACTGAGTTGCTTAGCTTGATAGGATGCAATAGAGGAAGCGGAGATAAGACCCAATGATAGAGGCCTTGAATATTGAATTATGGAATTTAGATTTTCTATACAGAAAATCTTGAATCTTGAGTTGTATGTGTATGTTTATGTAAATAATTTCCTAATTAAAAGAAATATGTTGAGATGGAGTAATATTTTTTTTCCAATTAAACAAATAAATCTTATGCTAGAAGATATGAAGGGTCATTGTTATTTTTGTTTTTAACCTCCCTTCAAGAATAATTATATAGTCAAGTCTATTGTTTCCCCAGATTATTTTTGTAATGATATTGTTAGGGAAGTTAATCTCAAAATTAATCTTAACAGGAGTCGGCTAACAGTCCAGCCAACATTTGACCTGTCTAAACAAAAATCTGCATATTCCAACTGTCCCTCTGACCAGAATTTACTTCCTCCTTCTTTTCACACAGGAAATATTCTGTCCTGGTGTTTCCTTTGATATATAAGGTCAAAGAGTTAATTGCTCTCACTTTTTTTTTAAGAGCATGCTCAACATGGACTTTTTATATTTCCCTGAAGCCCAGCCATCTTCCAAGTCAGATTTTAATAATATCTTGACCCATAACCTTTTGTTTCAAAATTGGTTTTGGCAGGAAATCAAATGTAGGGGAGTATCTATATTAAATATTGATTTTTTTAAGGATTTCTTTTCATTTTGCCCTTTCTGCCCTCCTCTCTTCAGAAGTTGACAGAAGATCTAATGAAAGGGTTAAAAACCCCTTTTAAAACTCCATCCTAAAATTTCCTCTTTCATTTATCTCTATTTACTTTTCTATGGATTATAATACTACTGTGTAGGTAACATTTCATCTCAAAAGTATAAGTGTGTCCTACAAGTATTTTAATAAAATATATTGACTTTCAATTTTGACTTTGAGATGTTCTATCAAGCAAGAATCCAATCTAAAATAAAATGCAATTTGAAGAAATAAATTTGGGATTTATATTAATTTCATCTTATTTCATAATAATACTAGCAGTATCCATCTGTTATTGAGTGCCTTCCTCTGCCAGGCACTGTCTTACAGATGATACAATATACTCCCTGGGAAATCCATGTGACGGGGATGGGCTGCATCGTGTCCCTTCTAGATTCATTATTGAAGTCTTAAGACCAAATTTGACAGAATTTGGAGATTAATTTGGTAATTAGGGTTAAATGAAGTCAGAAACATGGGGTCCTAATCTAATAAAATCGGTGGTCTTAAAAGGAGAAGAAAGAGAGAGAGCTCTCCCAGCACAAGCACTGAGGAAAGGCCACTAGAGAGGACATGGAGAAGTCCTGTCTGCAGGCCAAGAAGAGAGCCCTCACCAGAGCTCCACCATGCTGGAGCCCCGATTTTAGGCTTCTCGACTCCAGATTATGAGAAAAATCAGCTCTGTTGTTTCAGCCGTGAAGTCTACAGTATTTCACACAGCATCCCACATTGACAGATGCAGACAAGGACTGTTCCCATTTTGTGGATTAGGAAACCAAGTAAGATGTCCCATGGCAAAGCTGATCTTTGAACCTGAGTGTGTCTGACAACAAAAGCCTGCTGCTTAGATTCCCAGCTGAAATGTTGAGGCAGAAAATAATGAATAGATATTTAGATAGCCTTTAAAAAATTCCCAAACCTTTTGGCTGTTGTTCATATTTTTATTTTACAGGTTTAACACAACCTACACAAAACCAGTGCATTATTCTCATTTTTCATTCTTATCATCTGTTTTTTTTGTGTGTGTACTAGCAGGGTGTTATTATTTGAGCTCTCAGAATTCCAGGTTAATGTTGAAAAATGTAGCCAATCTTCCTGAAATTGCAATGTTGAAAAAAAGCTGAGGTTTACGAGTGCTGTATTTGCTTTTTGTAAAACATATTAAATGCAAAATATCCAGTGTTGTGCCTGAAACTAATTGGCAGTGTCCCATTAACCATATTAAAATTAACATCTATTAATTGGATTAGAAATTCAGTGAGAATGACAGCTGCTAGTGCCTTTTACAGTTACTGTGTTTCTCTGCAATCCATATGGCAGAAATCACATAATGCTTTTTTTTTCCCCTGTGGAAATAAACACTTAAGATAAAAAGGTTGACTTGATGTGATTAGGGTGTGGGCATTTGTTATCCTTGCTTTCTTTCTTTCTTTTTTTTTTTTTATAAAAGCTGAACTATCTTGTTTTTCCCTTTCACAGGTTTTCACCAGCTATATTTTTATATCTGATTAACATCGTTCCGTCATTATGGCTCCTTGAAATGCATCATGGGACCCAGGTACTTCCTTTTGGAAATTGGAATATCCAGAGGCAAACTGCTTTCACAGTATGATCTGATTTATTTCAGCAACGCTCTTTTTCAAGAGATAAATTATCAAAAATAGAATAAAAGGCCATTTATAAAAAGAATGGATTCTGTGATCTGTCAAAAAAAATTAAAATATTATTTCACTTAAAAATTTAAGATTACACAATTAATTAACCTCTGTGTTAGTGACCGTGTTTCTCGGACTCCCTCCCTTGCTCCACGCATGATAGAGTTCCTGTGGAAATTTGATTTTAACCCTGGAAGCTATAGGGAGTGGCTGTGGTATACCAGGAATCTTCAGGTCACAAAAATGTGACATCCTGTAAAATGACATTCTTAGGAATTATAAAACAAAAATAAACCCCTCTTTATCTGTACTTTGCTATGTACATACATTTCCATTTATGGGGGCTTTTTAAAATACCGTTAATGCAGAAGAAAGGAGATTCTTTTGGGGGGTCTCCTGGGCCATCTTAGTGAAACAGAAAACCTATTCCAGAGCCCTGACATTCTGGCTAAAGCAGGGAAGATGTGGAAACCATACAGGGAAATGTGGGTTTACATGTATGAGATCCTGAGGACCTAGAAAATAATCTGGCTTCCACTAAGAGTCACTAATCTTTATGTAGAGTCATTTTAATTGAGCTGCTTCCTACACAGACAACTCTCGTCAGCAGGCTTGCATTGGGTTCAGTCACTTATTGTTGATGGTGCTTTTGAGAAACTGAGAGGGCCAGTTAGCAAAGCCCTTCAGACTCTAGCTTGGACTTCACAATTCCAGTTCCAGGGCTTTTGTTACAGATGAACTGTGGTTATTATCTAACATTTTAGTAACTTCATTGATAAATGCCTTAGACAGAATCTCTGAGAATTTGTCCCTGTACAGATTTCTTTGTTATAGATAGTCATTTAATAGCATGCTTAGGTTGCCAATATATAAACTTATCTAATAATGCTTGCTCCAAATTGTAGGCATATGAGAGGGGAATTTAGCTCTGTGGACTATCTTTGAAGAAATCTCCAAGCAAATACAAATAATGAAGCAATAGAGAAAACATTTTCCTCCTTAAATCTTCTGGCTAAAAATCATTAAAGTGATAAACCATCTCTAGTTCTGCACCAAAAGTTTCTTCTTCTTCTTTTTTTTTTAACTATAGATTTGTTGGTTCAAAACATCATGGCTTTTTTTGAAAAGTATCATAAGGAGTTAGGGAACTGTTTCAATCTCCTTACTACTTACTATTTTGAAGGGTATGGAAATAAGCTCCGGTGATTTAAATCAATTTTTTCCCTACATATCCAATTCTATGACATGGCTATCATCCACAATAGCAATTCATTTTACCAAATGCTTTTATAATATAAATGCATTGCACAGTTAATTGATATACAGGTCAAATCCCATTACAACAAATAGCATGCAACCAAAAGCTCTCTTTTTAATAAAAAAAAAAAAAAAGATTTTTGAGCCCCGGGCAGTACCTCTCTAATTTTCATACTACAAAAGAAATTGAACCGTTAGTAGTAATGGATTTGACACTGAGAATTAAAATGAATGCTCAGAGATTGAAATGGGCAGTGAGCTAGAATGGAGATGGTAAAAGTGAGAGAGACAAAAATTATATATATATATGTATATATGTATATATATATAAATACATATATAGTATATATATGTATAGATATGTTTTCTCTCTCATATATATGTATATAAGATTGCAATAATGTGACATGCTGTAAAATGACTTTCTTAGGAATTACAAAACAAAAACAAACCCCCCTTTATCTGTACTTTTATAATTTAAATAGAATCCATATATATATGCTCCCATAAACCCAAAGGCATTGACGTAGCAAAGTACAGATAAAAGGAGGGTTGTTTTTGTTTTGTAATTCCTAAAAATGTCATACACACACACACACACACACACACACATATATGTGTATATATATATATGCATGCATATATATGAGAGAAAAAATATATCTATGCATAATTTAAATAGAATCCATATATAAATGGATTCCATTTAAAGAAATAAGAAATAGCAGAATAAAGTGAAGTATAGCAAATCCCTTAGCCTACTCATTTAGGAAATTAAGAAATTCTGGTTATGATAATCACTTTTCTTTTTATAGCATTCTATATTTCAGAGTGCTTTTAGATATATTTTCTCATTTATAATAAGTTAGGCATGGTGTATACATTTATATTATATATAAGAAGACCTTGAAGATCACAAAGTTTAGGAAATTTTCCTAAGGACACATAGGTAATCAACAGCAGTGCTGGGGCTTATATCATAATGGACACCCAATCCATTAAACTCCTCTGCCTTTCTCAGTTGTCTATCCTATATTTTAAAGGAATTTGCATTAGTTTGCATCTGAAGTTTTCATGATGAAAAAGAGTAATTTAATTTCCTTTCACATTTTACCATTTATTCTACATCCTCCATGTTCTAATCTATGATATGGCATGAGCAAAACATCTGACCTGTTTCATAAAGATATTTCCCCTAGATCACCAATTTGGTACCTTCATTCCAGAAACTAGTGGAATGCATGGAAACAAAACAGCTATGACAAATGTGGCCTTAACCATCAGTGAGATTTGCTTATGAAGTGGCATAATTAAACTAATGGAAATGCTCTGGTCTAATGGTGTCATAGACTGGTTTGACCTAAAGAAATGCTGTGGGGCTGGGGATGTGGCTCAA